TCTGGAGAGAAAAAAAAACTGAAAAAAAAAATATATAATTACAAGAAAGATTAATAAAGAAAACCATACCGTCCTAGGGTAGGTTATTTTGCAACGATAAAAAACAAAAAACAAAAACAAAAGCATAATATCACGAAGCAAATTCGATTAATAATAATAAAATCAAAAGTTTTCTTTCTCTTAAATAACCTTACCCAGAAGAACTTCTCGAAGTTCTGGAAAGAAATTCAAAGATCAAAGGTTTTTTCTTCCGGAGAAATTATCAAAAATGGTAAGAGAATATGATCAAATATTTGCAGTTTGTCGTGCAATTATATACCAGCACAAAGACCGGGCAATGTGTGTGGTACTTTAGTTTATCTGTTGCTCTTCTCGACATTCTGAGTTCAATGTGTTATGATTAATAGCTTTGTTTTTGTGATTCTTATTCTTGTTTTCCATATGATGACATTTATTATTAATAATATTCATTTTTACCTTTATGATCATTATCCTTTTTTACATTATCATATTCATGTTTTCTACCATTACTATCCTTATATTTTACCATTACTATTACCAATTATCATTCTTACCATTATTACCGTGATTATCATTCATATTATCTATATCCGTATTGTTACCATCATCATAATCATTAATACATTTTCATTATGTTTATCATTATCGTCATCATACTCTTAATGCAATTATCACCAACAAATTTCCAGACAGACAAAGAAGATTTCGACAGCCTTAAAAATGGTTTTATATTGTATACTACCAAATAGTGTAACAGAAAATCTACACTCAGTTTATGGCGGGACGAAGAAGACGAAGTGATATGCCGCCTCACCTAAATGGCAACACTGGTGTACATGAAATAAAAAAGGGAACTGCAGTATTAAGAATTGAAACTCGTAACTGGGACACATCTTTTGGTTATTCCGATTGGGACAAAAGAAGATATAAGCAACAACAGAAACATTATGCATAACTTACAACTCGACATCGCCAACTTGAGGTCTAGAACTAATGGTTGGAACACTAACAAGAGAAAGTTAAAAAGTCTTCCGATGAAACTGCAAAACCAGTCATAATTAACAATGGAAACAAAGAAATAACTCCGAATAAGAGAACTAAAGAACAAATACCAGATTATATCTACATTGGTAATCTAATGCTTGTTTACAGCCATAAAGAAGTAATTAGAACAGTGGTTTCCAACAGGTGGGTCGCAAATGGTCACTAAGCACTGATCTCAGTGTCACTAAGGGGGTTGCAGTTCATACTAAGAATATATAATATATTACAATTAGGAATATAATATATTACAATTAGATATATCAAGCTTGTATAGACTCCTTTTTTCTCTTAACCAAATAAAATTTATAGAAGGGATCGTGAGTATAAAAACGGTAGAACCACTGCATAAAAAAATCAAGGTGAATGATAAACTACACCACACCATCCAAACGAAATTATTCTGCCGATAAGAGACACCTTATAAACACCTTATAAGCAATATCTGCTATATCCTATCTTAGAAAAGGAAAACTGGCAGCTCACCCTGAAGTCCGATTTGCGAAGTCGATATTTTACCCTGATCGCCTTAATGTCAATACTTGTGCTAACCTCTGTTAAAACTTTTAAAGTCTATATACAACATATGATTATTTTTTATTGAAATCCGCTGCCTTTAAGACTATAT